TGATGTGGTATATGTCTTTCTCTGATTGGCTTATTTCGCTTAGCATAATACTCTCCAGGTCCTTCCATGTCATCTCAAAGGATATGAGCTCTTTCTTTCTTACAGCTGCATAGTGTTCCATTGTGTATATGTACCACAGCTTTTTCATCCACTCATCTATTGATGGACACTTGGGCTATTTCCAGATAGAGCAGGAAAGAAGGGGGGAAGAGAGAGAGAAACATCGATGTGAGAGAGACCACACGATGCCTACCAAACTGCAACCGAGGTACATGCCCTTAGTGGGAACCGAACCCAGGACTTAATGGTCTGCAGGCTGACGCTCTAACCGCTGAGCCAAACTGGCCAGGGCTTGATGGCAATCTTATACAATAATGAACTCACAGAAAGAGAAACTAAAAAAAAAAAACAAGCCCATCTACCATTGAGGCAAAAAAATTAAGATACCTAGGAATAAACTTAACCAAAGACGTAAAGGACCTACTTGCAGAAAACTACAGGACACTGAAAAAAGAAATAAAGGGTGATATAAAAAAGTAGAAGCATATACCTTGTTCATGTATTGGAAGAATTAACATAATTAAAATGTCCATACTACCCAAAGCAATCTATAGATTCAACACAATCCCCATCAAAATAACAACGACATATATTTCACAGAACTAGAACAAATACTTTAAAAGTTCATATGGAACCAAAAAAAAAAAAAAAAGAAAAAAAAAAACCCAAATAGCCACAGCAATCTCGAAAAAGAACAACAAAGTAGGAGGGATCACAATACCATATATCAGGTTATACTACCAAGCCACTGTAATCAAAACAGACTGGTACTGGCACAAGAACAGGCATATAGATCAATGAAACAGAATAGAGAACCTGGAAATTGACCCAAGACATTATGCTTAATTAATATTTGACAAAGGTGGCAAGAGCATACAATGGAGGAAAGACAACCTCTTTAATAAATGGTGTTGGGAAAATTGGACAGCTATAGGCAAGAAAATGAAACTAAACTCAAAGTGAATAAAAGTCTTAAATGTGACTAATGAATCCATAAAAATCTTAGAAGAAAATGTAGGCAACAAAATATCAGACATCACACTCAGCAGAATTTTCATTGATACAACACCTGAGGCAGTGGTTCTCAACCTTCCTAATGCCGTGACCCTTTGATACAGTTCCGCATGTTGTGGTGAACCCCCAACCATAAAATTATTTTCGTTGCTACTTCATAACTGTCATTTTGTTATTGTTATGTCTTAGGCGACCCCTGTGAAAGGGTTGTTCAACTCCCAAAGGGGTTGCGACCCACAGGTTGAGAACCACTGGTCCCAAAGGCAAGAAAAACAATGGAAAAAATTAATACACGGGACTACATCAAACTAAAAAGCTTCTGCACGGCAAAAGAAACAACTATCAAAATGGAAAGGGAACCCACTATATGGGAGGGCATACTGCCAATGATACATCAGATAAGGGGTTAATTTCCAAAATATATAGAGTACTCATACAACTCAACAAAAGGTAGACAAATAACCCAATTAAAAAATGGGCTGCCCTGGCCGGTTTGGCTCAGCGGTTAGAGCGTTGGCCTGTGGTCCAGAGAGACCCACATTCAGTTCCCGCTAAGGGCATGTACCTCAGTTGCAGTTTGTCCCCGGTCCTGGATGGGTCGTGAGGGTGGCAACCACTTTCACGTCGATGTTTCTCTCTCTCTCTCTTCTCTCTCCCTCCCACTCTATCTGAACAAAAAATGAAAAAATGTCCTCGGGTGAGGATAAAAAAAAAAAATGGGCAGAGGGCCTAAACAGATACCTCTCCAAAAAGGACATACGAATGGCCAAGAGACATATGAAAAAATGCTCAATGTCTCACTAATCATCAGAGATGTAAATTAAAAGGATTATGAGGTATCACCTCACACCTGCCAGAATGGCTGCCATCAACAAATCATCAAACAACAAGTGCTGGAAAAAAGAAAAGGAGACTCTAGTACACTGCTGGTGGGAATGCAGACTGGTGCAGACACTATGGAAAACAATATGGTGTTTCCTCAAAAAATTAAAAACTGAACTGCCATTTGACCCAGTGATCTCACGTCTAGGAATATATCCTAAGAAGCCTGAAACACCAATCAGAAAGAATATATGTAGCCCCATGTTCATAGCAGCACTATTTACAATCGCTAATATCTGGAAACAGCCCAAGTGTCCATCAATTGATGAGTGGATAAAAAAGCTGTGGTACATATACACAATGGAACACTATGCAGCTGTAAGAAAGAAAGAGCTCATATCCTTTGAGATGACATGGAAGGACCTGGAGAGTATTATGCTAAGCGAAATAAGCCAATCAGAAAAAGACATATACCATATCATCACACTCATTTGTGGAATATAATGAACAAAATAAACTGATGAACAAAATAGACCTAGAGACACAGAAAGGAGTATGGTTCAGATTGATAAACCTCAGAGGAGGGGGTTGTGGGGAGGGATGAGATAACCAGAGAACTTATATGCATATACGCATAACCAGTGGACATAGACAACAATGTTTGGGGGCGGGGGGCAGAATTGGGATTGGAAGGAAGGTGTCTGGGGGGGAAAAGGAGAAATATCTATAACAAAAATTAATTAATAAAAATAAATAAATAAAATTTAAAACTTGCTTTTCTCATTTAACAATAAGACTTAGAAGTTTTTGCATATGTGGCATGGACGTACCATGTTTATTTAAATATTTCCTATTAATAAACCTATAGGTTATTTCTAATTTTGTGCTGTTAGAAACAATGAATATAATGAAATATTCCCACATATATCTTTTTTTTTTAATCCTCACCTGAGGACATTTTTTCATTTTTTGTTCAGATAGAGTGGGAAGGAGAGAGAAGAGAGAGAGAAACATCGATGTGAAAGGGACACATCGAGTAGTTGCCACCTGCACGACCCAACCAGGGCCGGGGACAAACTGCAACCAAGGTACGTGCCCTTAGCGGGAACCTAACCTGGGTCTCTTGGGACCGCAGGCCGATGTTCTAATCACTGAGCCAAACCAGCCAGGGCCCCACATATATCTTTGTGCACACATGCAAGTATTTTATAGGAATAGATACTGAGAAGCCAAACCAGTGACTAAATCAAGAGTAGATACATTTTAACTTTTAAAACACACTGCTGGCCCTGGCTGCGTGGCTCTGTCAGTTGGAGGTTCGTTTCCTATACCCAAAGGTTTTGAGTTCAATTACTGGTCAGGGCACATACCTAGATTGCAGGTTCGATCCCCAAACACATACAGGAGACAACTGATCAATGTTTCTCTCTCACATCAATGCTTCTCTCTCTCTCTAAAGTCAATAAAAACATATCCTTGGTTGGGTGAGGATTACAAATAAAATAATTAAAAAGAAATAAAAAGTACTCCTGAATTTCTTTCTAAAAAGGCACACCAATATAAACTCCCTCCAACAGTTTATAGCAATAATCAGTCCCCCACATTCTTCCCAACACTTGATTTTTTCAATCTTTAAAAAAAAATTGTTTTTTCTATATTGATTTTAGAGAGGAAGGGAAAGGGAGAGAGAGATAGAAACATCAATGAGAGAGAACATCGACTGGTCACCTCCTGAATGCCCCTTACTGGGGATTTGGCCCACAACCTGGGCATGTGCTCTGACCGAGAATTGAACTGGTGACCTCTTGGTACATGGGTCAATGCTCAATCACTGAGCCACACGGGCCGGGCTTAATATCTGTAAAAATTTGGAAATAAAGTGTTTCTCACAAGTTGTACTTTCCTAACTAGTTGAGTTGAACATCTTTTCTAATGTTTCTTGGCTAGCTACTTTATTGCTTCAGTTAATAGGGTATTCATATCTTTTGTCCATTTTTCTTTTAGGTTGATTTGTAGGAGTTCATATATTCTGACTAAAAGTTATTTGTTTAATATCTATGTTGGAAATTACTTTCTCCAAGTCTGTTGCTTACATATATTTTTTTTTAATAAATTTTTTTTCTTTTATTTATTTATTTTTCTTTTATTTATTTTAGAGAGAGAGGAAGCGAGAGGGAAGGAGAGACAGAAACATCAATGAGAGAGAACATCGACTGGCTGTCTCCTGCATGTTCCCCGCTGGGAATCAGGCCCACAACCTGGGCATGTGTCCTGACCCGGAATCATACCGGCGACCTCCTGGTGCATGGGTCGACACTCAACTACTGAGCCACACCAGCCGGACTGTTGCTTATCTTTTAACTTTGGTCATAGAGAATTTTAAAATTTCAATATATTCAAATTTATGTTTACTTATGTTTTCCTTTACTATTTTACTGGTTTGGGTCTTGTTAAAGAAGGCTTTTCTACCTCTAGACATCATTTTCAATGGCTGCATTATATCTATCCATGGATAGATCATGGATAGATCATAATTTATGAAATTCTCTCTCACCATTAGAAATTTAGTCTGTTCCATCCTTTCACTGATATAAAGAATGCTGTGGAAAATAAGTGTTCAACTTGATATTTCTAACACATATCTCAGTGCCTAGAAAACTAAACATAATAAATGTTTCTTGGATGGGGGAGGGGAGAAAGGCAGAAAACTTTTTCCATAGTCACAGTCAAGGTATGTTAAAAAAAATGCAGCTCAGCCCAGGCCGGTTTGGCTCAACAGTTGGAGCATCGGCCTGTGGACCAGAGAGTCCCGGGTTCAGTTCCCGCTAGGGGCGTGTACCAAAAAAAAAAAAAATACAGCCCAATGTCAACCAAATTATTGGAAATTAGCCTTACAATTCTACTTCTCCTCTAGCCTATCTAATCAAGAGTTGCTCTACTTCTAAAATCTAGGCATGGAAGTAAAACTTCACTTTCTCCTTAAGATTACCTTTCCAAAGGGTGGGACAACTACTTGAGAAAGGCCTTTAAACACATACCTGAGTACTCCTACCTATCCTGACTTCAGTTTTAGGGTGCCACTTTGCTTGGTGAGTCTTCAGGGTTCACTTCATAGAAGGTGGTGAACGGGACTGAGAAAATGAGGTGGAAGGAAGAGAAGCTTCATATCCAGCAGGCTGGGCAGCCACAGAATTGTGAGAGCCAGCTGTATTACTAGCAGGTGGAACTGCATATCCCAGAGGTGGGGCTTCATTTCTAGCTGGTGGTGATCTGTATTCCACAGGCAGGGCTTCAGATCCCTCTGGAGGGGCTCCATATCCCGGTGGTGGGGCTCCATATCCCGGTGGCGGGGCTCCATATCCCGGTGGCGGGGCTCCATATCCCGGTGGCGGAGCGCCATACCCCGCTGGTGGGGCGCCATACCCCGCTGGCGGGGCTCCACATCTTACAGGTGGGGGCCCATGGACAATAACTGGGTAGGATGAGAAGGAAAGAAAAAAAATCAGTTATTTATTTTTAGAGTGGACAAGGAATAAGTGAGAAGGAGGAAGAAAAAAATTATGCTGAAGCAAACTAACACAGGAAGAGAATCAGGCAGAAAAATGGTACAGCCAGATCCTTCAGCCACCACCAGTTAAAGGTTTTATCAGTTCCTGTGGTGGAGGGATTCAATTAACCTGAAAACAACCCTACAGTTTTATCTTGGTATTACTTATAGCTGTGTATAGAGATATATGTTTATTTTTTAATAAAGTTTATTTTTTAAAAATATGTTTGTTTTTTTTTAAATCCTCACCCGAGGACATTTTTTGATATTTTTGTTCAGATAGAGTGGGAGGGATAGAGAGAAACATCAACGTGAAAGGGACACGTTGAGTGGTTGCCACCCACACGACCCAACCAGGGCTGGGGACAAACTGCAACCGAGGTACGTGCCCTTAGCGGGAACTGAACCCGGGTCTCTCCAGACCGCACGCCAACGGTCTAACCGCTGAGCCAAACTGGCCAGGGCTAAAAATATGTTTTTATTGATTTTTTTTTTTAGAGAGAGAGGAGGGGAGATTGAGAAAGAAACATGGATCAGCTGCCCCCTGCACGTTCCCTACTGGGGATCGAGCCCGCAACCGGGTCATTGCCCCGACCAGGAATCGAACCCGAACCTCTCAGTCCATGGGATGACACTCAATCTGCTGAGCCACACTGGCTGGGCTCAAGTTTATTTTGATTATGAAAAAAGTAATATGTGCTTAATGAGGAATGTGTATTTGGAAAATAAAAAAGGATGAATTTTAAAGTCATCTATAATGCAATTATCAAATAGAAAACTTAGTACTTTAATGTATTTCTTTATAGAATATCTTTTAATATGTTTTGCAATCATGATTATAATTGTACAATTTTTTAAATACTTTTTTTTAATCCTCATCTGAGGACATTTTCATTGATTTTTTATTTTTTTTATTTTTATTTTTTTTATTTTTATTTTTTTATCCTCACCTGAGGACATTTTTCCATTTTTTATTTTGTTCAGGTAGAGTGGGAGGGAGAGAGAGGAACAGAGAGAAAGAGAGAAACATCAATGTGAAAGGAACACATCGAGTGGCTGCCACCCGCACAACCGACCAGGGCCGGGGACAAACTGCAACCGAGGTACGCGCCCTTAGCGGGAACCGAACCCGGGTCTCTCAGGACCGCAGGCCGACGCTCTAACCGCTGAGCCAAACCGGCCAGGGCTTCATTGATTTTTTAGAGAGAGAAACATTGATGTGAGAAACAGTGTTCGGTTACCTCCCGCATGCACCCCAACCAGGGCTGGGGATCAAACCTACAACCTAGGTATATGCCCTGACTAGGAATTGAATAACTACAATTTTTTATGTGGCTTTTTTTACTTGACATTATACAAAAATTGTTTATATTATTAATGTATTTCATAAATTAAAAGCTGGGCAATATTTTATTGTGTGGATCGGTGCTACTAAATTCCTGTTATAGGACAGCATGTTGTTTCCAACTTTCCAATTAATATTACAATGAACATGGGTTTTATTTATTTCCTTGACTATATTCCCAAAGTGATTTAACTGGGTCAGGTGAAAGGACAATTGTCAAGTTATTTTGCTACAATCCATATTTATGTTTAAGTTAGTTACAAAAAAATTTAAAACACTTTCTTAAAGATACTCAAAGAACTAAAGGAAACTATGGAGAAAGTCAACAAAATGATGTGTGAACAAAATAGAAATACTGATAAAGATAGAAAACCTAACAAATAAGCAAAAAGAAATTCTGGGGCTGAAAAGTACAAAAACTGAAATCAAAAATTCACTAGAGGGATTCAAATTCAGATTTGAGCAGGCAGAAGAAAGAATCAGTGAACTGCCCTGGCCAGTTTTGTTCAGTGGTTAGAGCATCAGTCTGAGGACCAATGAGTTGTGGGTTTGATTCTGGACAAGGGCACGTACCTCGGTTGTGGTTAGTCCCTGACCCTGGCCGGGTCATGCGGGAGGCAACCAATCGATGTCTACGTCTCTCTCTCTCTCTCTCCCCCTCCCTCATACTCTATCTGATGATAAATAGAAAAATATCCTCAAGTGAGGATTAAAAAGAAAATCAGTGAAATTAAAGATGATGGAAATTGTTGAGACTGAGGAACAGAAAGATAATAGATTGAAGAAAGGTGAATTGAGCCTAAGGAACCATTGGGACACCATCAAGCAGACCAACAACATACACACTGTGTGGAAGTCTCAAAAGGAGAAGAGAAGGGTAGGATATTTGAAGAAATAATAGCTGGAAACTTCCCAAATTTGATAAAAGACATGAATATAAATATCTAAGAATCTCAAGAAACTGTAGAAGATGAACTCAAAGAGATCCATACCAAGACACATTACTTGCAAAACTTGCAAAAGCCAAAGACAAAGAGAGAATCTTGAAAGCAGTAAGAGAGACATGAATCATTATATGCAAGAGATTCTCATTAAGATAAATTTCTCATCAGAAATTATTAAGGCCAGAAAGAAACTGTCAAACAAATATCTTCTATTCTGGCCAAGTTTCTTCAAGAGTGAAAGAGATTAAGACGTTCCCAGATATATAAAAGCTGAGAACATTCATTACCACTAGACTTACCCTGCAAGAAATGCTTAAGGAAGTCCTGCAGGGTGAAATGAAAGGACACCAAACAGTAATTTGAAGCAGTAAACTGAAGAAATTAAGATCTCAATATAGGTAAATCATTGGGCAATTATAAAAGCTAATATTATTGTAACAATTGTTTGTAATTCCATTTTTTGTTTTCTACATAATTTAAGAGACTAATGTGTTAAAAAGAATAATGCAGCCCTGGCCAGTTTTGCTCAGTGGTTAGAGTACCAGCCTGCAGATTGAAAGGTTGCAGATTTGATTCCCAGTCAAGGACACATACCTGGGTTGCAGGTTCAATCTCTGACCCTGGTTGGAGTCACGTGTGAGGCAACCAATCCATGTGTCTCTTTCACATCAATGTCTCTCTCTTCCCCCCTCCCCCCCCCACCCCCCCGCTTCCCTCCCTTCCACTCTATCTAAAACTCAATGAAAAAATATCCTTGGGTGAGGATTAACCTACAAACAAAAAAGAATAATGCAGTGTAGTCACTGTGGAACACAGTATGGAGTTTCCTCAAAAAATTAAAAATGTAACTGCTTTTTGACCCAATTATGCATATATGCACATAAGTTATTTGGTTTATCTCTTCCCAACCCCCTTCCCTCTGAGGTTTATCTGTTTCCTACTTCCATGTCTCTAGATCTTTTTATTTTTTTAAATCCTCACCCGAGGACATTTTTGCATTCATCTTCAGACAGAGCAAGAGGGAGAGAGGAAGAAGAGAGAGGAAGAGAGAGAGAGAAACATCAATGTGAGAGAGACACATTGAGTGGTCGCTACCCACACGACACCAACCAGGGCCGGGGACGAACTGCAACCGAAGTACCTGCCCTTAGCAGGAACCAAACCCTGGGCTCCCCAGTCCAAAGGCTGACGCTTTAACCACTGAGCCAAACTGGCCAGGGCTCTGGATCTATTTTGATCGTCTGCTTATTTTGTTCATGAGATTCCACATATAAGTGACATCATATGGTACTTGTCTTTCTCTGACTGGCTTATTTTATTCAGCAAATTATGTGATTGAAAGTCAAGTACCATACCATCTCACTTATTTATGGAATATCATGAACAAAATAAACTGACGAATAAAATAGAAACAGAGCTCTGGCCAGTGTGGATCAGTTGGATGAGTGTCACCTCCTGCACCAAAAAGTTCAATTCTCACTCAGGGCACATGCCTGGGTTTCAGGCTCAATGTTCAGTAGGGGGCGTGCAAGAGGCAGCAATCGATGCTGCTCCCCCTTCCTCTCTCTCTAAAATTAATACAGTTGTCCATTGCCACTTCGCACTTCTATGTTTGTGGCTTCACTGAACCGCAAACAACAGTGCGGTGATGGCCAGAGCGAAGGGGGTGCAAGAGCTGGGTGAAGGTGGGCAAAGGGGGGAAATGGGGACATCTGTAATACTGTCAACAATAAAAATAAAGTTTTAAAAAAAGGCCTTGTCTGGTTTGGTTCAGCAGTTAGAGCGTCGGCCTGCGGTCCAGAGAGACCCGGGTTCGGTTGCCGCTAAGGGTGTATGCCTTGGCTGCAGTTTGTCCTTGACCTCGGTTGGGTCATGCAGGAGGCAGCCACTCGATGTGTCCCCTTCACGTCGATGTTTCTCTCTCTCCCTCCTACTCTGTCTGAAGAAAAAATGGAAAAATGTCCTCGGGTAAGAATAAAAAAAAAAAAAAAAAGAATTATTAGTCCAGCCAGTGTGGCTCAGTGGCTGAGCGTCGACCCATGCACCAAAAGGTCACTGGTTAGATTCCCAGTTAGGGCACATGCCTAGGTTGTGGGCCAAGTCCCCAGCGGCGGGCATGCAGGAGGTGGCCAGTTGATGTTCTCTCTCATCAACATTTCTATTTCTCTCTCCTTCTTTCCTCTCTCTCTAAAATCAATAAAGAAAAAAAGAATTACTAAATGATTTGGGGCACACATTGTATAAAGATGTAATTTTGTGCCCTGGTCAGTTTGGCTCAGCAGTTAGAGTATCGGCCTGTGGTTCGGAGAGACCCGGGTTCGATTCCCGCTAAGGGCATGTACCTCAGTTGCAGTTTGTCCCTGGCCCTGGTTGGGTTGTGCGGGTGGCAGCCACTCGATGTGTCCCTTTCACGTCGATGTTTCTCTCTCTCTCTCTTCCTCTCTCTCCCTCTCACTCTATCTGAACAAAAAATGGAAAGATGTCCTCAAGTGAGGATAAAAAAAAAGATGTAATTTTGTGACATCAACTGAAATGTATCAAGAAGGAACTGTAAAGATGCAAAATATTTGTATTTTACTGAAGTTAAGCTGGTAAAGATTCATATTAATGTTATAACTTTTGGATATTAAATGTAA